GGCGCTGCAAGTGAAGCCCCAAGAGGGCGGGCCCCCGCCTCTCAGCAGCAACGTCACCGTCAGCGTGTTTATCCTGGATCGGAACGACAACGCCCCTCGCATCCTGTATCCCTCGCTCGGGCCCGAGGGCTCAGCCGTGTTCGAGATGGTCCCTCGCTCTGCCGAGGCGGGTTATCTGGTGACGAAGGTGGTGGCGGTGGATGCGGACTCGGGACACAACGCCTGGCTCTCCTACCATGTGCTGCAGGCCACGCAGCCGGCGCTCTTCCGGCTGGGGCTGCACAGCGGGGAGATCCGGACCGCGCGCGCCTTTTCGGACAGAGATGCGGTGAAGCACCGGCTGGTCGCCCTGGTGAAGGACAACGGGCAGCCGCCTCTCTCCGCCACCGTGACTCTGAGCCTGGTGTTCGCCGAGAACTTCCAAGAGGCTCTTCCGGAAATGAGCGACCGGTCGGCTGACTCAGCGCCGCAGTCTGATTTGCAGTTCTACTTGGTGTTGGCCTTGGCCTTGGTCTCGTTTCTCTTCCTCCTGACGGTGACACTGGCCATTGCGATGAGATTGCGGCGGTCAGGAAATCCCCAGTTACTTCAGTGTTTTGGTCCTGAGCCTTATTCCAAGACGGGCTCCATGTTCCCACCAAACTATGAAGATGGGACTTTACCTTATTCCTACCAGCTGTGTTTGTCCTCGGATGCCGGGAAGAAGGAATTTACTTTCCTGAAATCCAGCGTGCCGAGGGGCGGGAATATTCTGTGTGGTGACAGTTCTGGGAAAGTATTTGCGGGACATGGATCTGACAGTTTACATGGTGAGATGGAGACCGCTGGGGAGGTGAGTTTTTTTTCTTTTAACGCCTTATTCCTACTGGCTGTGTTTGTCTTCAGACTCCAGGAGGAACGAGTTTACTTTCCAAAAGCCTAATCTGCCCACAGCAGAGACTGTTCTGTGCGTTGACAGCTCAGGGATGGTATTTATGGGCAATGGGTCCAGCGGGAATCCAAGTCCTGCACAGGTGAGAGAATGTGCATATTATGCAAAAGTTATCTTTAGTTGCAGACTTTAAAGGTAAATCGTTTCATCTTTAAATATTGGGTCATTGTGAAAGTAAACCCTAGTGTGTTAGGCTATTCTATGATGCCCTGACTGGCTCCTCTGACATTGATTCCACAGTAGTTTTGGGATTCAACATGGTTTTATTTCATTCATTTTACTGGAGGGGCAAAAGCTCAGCAGAAACAACTGTAAAATATTTTTTTTTTTTTTGCAAAAATGATTAAACAGCTTCTCTTGGAGCAGCATTGATTAGTTCATAGAGACACAAATATTTAAAAACATCTTTGTTCCACCAGTGACCCAAATCTTATATGTCCTTGATATAATTTGCATTTCTGCTAGTCTCTTGTGCCCCTAACTATAACAATATTCACGTTACTCACAGCACCAAAGGACCAGTCACTTACCCCTGGTCTTAAACTGAAGGGAGCCCTGATAGCCACGCCTGTGATAAATTAACTAAAGATTTATTAAATAGATTTATTAAACTTTATTAAGACAAAGAAATGAGAGAGTAATTCACAAGATTAAAGTAGATAAACATATACTGAGAAATGAGTGGTAGTATTTATCTGAGGCCTAAGGGCCTTGACATAAATAGTGTTTTTAAGACTTAGTTTTTCTACCATTTCCAAAGATAGTAGCAAATTTGGGGTACCACTGGAATGTTATAACTCCTTTCAACAACAGACAGTGCCTCCAAGAAGCAGACTCTTTCAAGTCTCACTGGCTATTGACAACTATGGCCCCAGGGGCCAGTCTTCTTGTTATATTTTATTCATTTTTATGCAAAGAAAGTCACATGTATTTTTGGAGGGAAAGGGGGAAACATTTACCTGCCTGGTTGGTAGATTTAACATCATGAGTTTTCTTTCGCTTCTTGGTTGTTTATAATGTCTCATCATTGACCACATTGTTATTAGTATGTGCGTGTCCTGTCGGTGTGATTTGATATTTTACATTGTTGCATTACTGGAATATATATTCCTCTTGAAGTAGCATTTGAATACTTTTCCATTGTTCTAGATATTCTAAAACTAAATATGAACACTGCCAGACTGAAAAATACATCGAGTAACTAGCAGACTTACCTGGCATTGCCCAGGGGGCTAGTGGTGGGGTGAATGTGCAGGACTCAGGGCAGAGCGTTGGGGATGTGGAGGGGGTTCAGGAGTCTGAGGCCTAAGAGGATGTGCAAGAGTGAGGGTTGTGGGGTGAGGAGAGGCTCAGAATGGAGGTCCCATCTGGCATGGGCTTTTTCTCTTCCCCCCACCAGCTCCCCTCTGACCACGAGGGGCCTTCCCCACCCCCACCCCACCGAGACACATACTGGTGCTATGGCCAAGGGCTGGGGAAGGCTTTTGGGCAGTGGGGCTACTTGGTGTGCTGGCAGGCAAGATGGTGGAGCCTTAGTCCTACTGGCCACTCCCTTGGTGTTACAGCTGTCCCTAGTGGGCACTCTGAAGGACAGCTCTTCCCTGTGAGCTCACTGCCCCCAGAGGCTCTCCAAACAACAGCCCCTCCCTCTGCAGGTTAAGGAAAACAGTCCTTTTCCTGGGGCTTTCATTTGTCCTGACACAATCAATCCCTTACTTTGTTTTTGTTTAGATGAAGCAGCATTCCAAATTTGGTGGCCCTAGCTCTTACTATCAGGAGGTGTTCCTGAACAACGGGACTCAGAGACACACACACTACACACTCTCACTGAATAGATAAAGCCAACCCATAGATAGGACTCCTGTTGTATCGTTTATTCAGATTTCATCCATAGTGCAAGAACTGACATAAATGACAAAAATGAACAAATCTTAAGAATGTAAGAACAGCCATGCTGGGTCAGACCAAAGGTCCATCTAGCCCAATAACCAGTCTTCTAATAGTGGCCAATGGCAGGTGCCCCAGAGGCAATGAACAGAACAGATAATCATCAAGTGATCCATCCCCTGTCACCCATTCCCAGCATCTGGCAAATGGAGACCAGGAATACATCTCCACCTGTACTGGCTAAGAGCCATTGGTGGACTGATCCTCCATGAGTTGGTCTAATTCTTTTTTGAATCCTCTTATAGTCTTGCTCTTCACAACATCCTCTGATAAGGAGTTCCACAGGTTGGCTGTATGTTGTGCGAATAAATTCTTTCTTTTGGTTGTTATAAACCTATATAACAAGTATAGGGTGCTGTTAACTTCATTTCTTGACCCCTAGTTCTTGTGTTATGAGTTGAAGTAAATAACACTTGCTTATTTACTTTCTCCACACCAGTCATGATTTTATAGTATCCCAGACCCGCTGTTGGGCAACACAGAATGCAGAGATCAGATTCACATTCTCCATGGAAAGGCTAGACAGAGAGCAGCTCTGTCCTGGATGAAGAAGTGTGTGTTAAATTGTGAGGTTACAGTGGAAGATAAATGAAGCCTTATGGAATTGACATTGAAATCACAGCTACTGATGACAGGGCTCCCATTTGCAGTATTACAATTTGGAGTTAAACATTAATAAGACAACAGAACCAAGATTGCTGTTTCCCGTGAAGAAGAGCCAGGACACAGATGTAGGGATGAATTATTTCCAGAGCTCCTGGTCAGGAGTAAAAGGCATTTCTCTGGAAGTGCAAACTGTATCAGATTGCGTTAAATATGCAGAACTGGTGCTGGAAAAGTCTCTAGATATGAGCAAGCTGTTCATGATCTAACCTCACAGCTGATGATGGAGGCTTTCCAATAAGGTCTGGTAGGGCAAACCTATGCTGTTTGTCAGACTGTCTGGAATGTCTCACAACTTTGAATGCTCAGGGCAGGCTGTCACAAAACAGGGTAGCTATCCTTAGCTGTGGGTGTCTTCTATAATTAGATTTCACCAAGCCACTGATAATAGGATTTCCTAGATCACAACTAGGCTTACTATAGAGTCACAGACAGTCCCCTTGGACTCTCCTTTCAATCTTGCTGCCCAGACAAACTGAACTTTGTGATAAAAGGTCACTTACACCAAATATCTCTCTACAACAGGTTGCTCCCAGTCCCAAGAGACCAGTCACTTGCCTCAGATCAATTGGTAGTTTAGAGTTTGCACCAATGGTAAAAGTGGTTGCCAATTTGAAACCAACTAAAAGGTTATTAGCTAAGAAAAGGAAATAAAAGTTAGTCAGCGGTTAAAGTGGGTAAAATATATCTGCAGGTGAGTCACCGTTAGCAACTCCAAAGGATGGCAGTGATGTACTCATGTTCCAGTTTCCCAAAAGTCTTTTTAGGGTTCTCCAGATTGACCCTGGGATCTCTGCTTTTCATCTGATTCCCTTACCTGTAAGGGCATCTGTACACCAGGAAATGATTTTGAAATAATTTATTAACTCCCAAAATAAGTATTTTGAAATAAGCATTATTCCTCATGGAGAGCATGAGTTATTATTCCAAAATAACCAGCCCCTTATTTAAAAACAAGAGTTTTGATAGTGTGGATGCTCTGCTTGTTATTTCAAAATCAGGGGAGTTATTGCAAAATAACACCCTAGTGTAGACTAGGGCCAAGAGGTTAAACAATCCAGAGATATGGGAACTTTCCTTGAATTTTTACATACAGCCTTTTCTCACACAAAACAAGCTGAGGAAGTGGGTCTGGCCCACGAAAGCTCATCATCTAATAAACCATCTTGTTAGTCTTTAAAGTGCTACATTGTCCTGCATTTTGTTTCAACTACCCCAGACTAACACGGCTACATTTCTATCACAAAACAAGCTGGCAGTGTTGCTACTGACCTAGGCTCTTCCTTTGATGAGGAAGAATGGAGCATAAGGCATTTCGTGTGTCTTAGCCCTCCCCTACTCACATACAGTGACCACTTGCTTCACAATTAGCACTTTGTGTTAACATTGTTCAGTTGCATTTCAGAAGGCTTCTTGCTTTCTTATGGTTCATTTGATGCCTTATTGAGTTAAAGGGGTATCCACAATGCAATGTTTGCTACTGTGTTTCAATACCTATAAGAAGAAACAATGCAAGTAACATCCCACTAGTTTCATGAAGTTTAAACTCTAAATACATATTTATACATTAACTAATTACTTAGATCTATACTAATACACAAATGAATTAGACTGTGGCTCTGGAATAAGATGGTACTGGTTGGCCAACGTCATAGTAGTCAACTGAGCATTTGCTCAATATATACATTACATTACTGTTCCATAGACTGGAGAGATCTCCTATCTCCCCTTTACTGATTCATATGGAAATACACATTTGTAGCAAACCTGTTACTTTACTTTCTCAGCAAGAGTGGAGGGTTTACATTTTTTTACATATTACAAACAAGTGGACATGTATGTATTTTTTTAAAATGGCAATTTCTATACATTTTTCGTGTGATGTCAAATGAATATTTTATAGCAGAGGTCTGTACAATATTATTCTGCAGCCTATTTTATTTCAGACCAAACCAAGTTATACTAATTTTCATCACTCAAAGGCATAGACTTTGAAAAATTCATAAACATCACATTGGGCTACACAAATATATATTATGATGATGAAACAGTTTCAACATCATTTTAGGTTTTCTGCAATAGTAATTTTCTTTTGACCTAAATTTGAGCCTTGACAGACTGAGAAATATGTGTGATAGATTACACTAATGTGTTTTCATGGCTTTGTCTGTATTAGAAATTAGATTCTAAAACTTCTTAGTAAGGTTTAGCTAAGACAAATTCTCTTTCCATGGTACATGTATTTATAGTCATCAAATGACTACTTTAAATTTCCTCCATCTAGTAAGAGTGTAGTTGTAGCTAGATTTACTTCTCATTGGAATAGTGATATTTGAAATATGTACTTTTAGCTCCATCGTAAGAAAAACTTTGATCACTGACATTTAAGGGAAATATTTTTATTTTTCTGAGATGCCATGTATTTTGTGCATTTTCACTGTCTTTAGTGAGGATCTGAGGGAGAGCGGATGGCCTAGTGCCGTGGTCACCAACAGGTCGATCGCGATCTACTGGTCGATCATGAGGCCTCGACCAGTCGCTCGCAAGGCGTCCTGTCTGCCCCGCCCCCATTTCCGCTATTTACCTCAAGTGAAAATGGAGGTAGTGCCGGCTTCCTGGGGATGGACAGAAGTCCCGCAGCTTAGTGCCATTTCTGGCGATTCTAGAAGTGCGCTAGCTGCTCTGCCGGATGTACTGCGGGAGGGAGCATTGGCTCCCTGCACCGCACAGGAGGGGGGAGTCAGCCCCACGGGAGGTGCACAGGTGGTTTCCCGGCATGCGCGGCGGGGGTTGGCCCTGGGGCAGGCGTGCGCGTGGGGCTTCCCTGCGTGGAGGGGGTAGGGTTGGCGCCAGGACAAGCATGCGCGGGACTTCCCTGCACGGGGAGGGGTTGTCCCTGGGGTAGGCGCTAACGGGACTTCCCTGCGTGGGGGAGGGGGAGGTTGGCGCCAGGACAGGCCTCCTGGGCAGAAAGGCCTGTGGGGCTTCCCTGCACGGGGGAGGGGGTCGGCCCCGGGGCAGGCACGCGCTGGTTTCCCTGGGGGGGGAGAATCCTGGGAGGAGGGAGATGCAGGGGACTCTGCCTCCACTGGCACCCCACTCCCCAACTCCCCTGTCCCCAGCCACAGAACTCTGTCCCCACTTCCCTGTCCCCACTTCCCTGTCCCCAGCTACAGAACACTGTCCTCACTCCCCTGGCCCCAGGCACTCTGTCCCCTGCTGCAGAAGCCCGTCCTCTGCCCTCCCAGGACCCTGTTCCCTCTCTCCTGCCCCCAGCTGCAGAACTCTGTCCCCACAAAATGTATAATTATAAATGCTTCATTTTAGATTTAAATAGCATGAATAAAAACAGACCATTTATTTCATAACTCTAAACAAGTGATTTTAATTTTATGTATCGCATAATTTAAAAATAAACTGTTTATCAGAGTGTGTAAGGAAGGGCTGGGGATAGCAAGTGATGGACAGGAGAAGAATAGAGAGGGCGGGGCTTCAAAGAAGGGACGGGGCTTTAAGGAAGGAACAGGGCGGTAGATCTGCGCCTGTTCTGAGATTTAAAAAGTGATCTTGGGTGTAAAAAGGTTGGAGACCACTGGCCTAGTGCATAATTACAGGAAAGTGTGGGGCAAAATTTCCAAAAGTTTGCTCCATGGAGCTCTGCAGCTCTGTCCCGTGGTCCAGGAGCTCTGGGGGGAAATGTTAATGACAGTTGTATGACCCTGTTATTTTGTTTTTTATTTTTGTATAGTTTTCTTGAAAATGTTTTTATAAGAAATATACAAGACGTAAAAATAGAATTCCAAAATGTTGCTTATTTATTTTGGTACCTATTGAATTAAAATCATGGTATTTTAAGGATTTCACCAAATTTTCAGGACTCTGTAAGAGCTCTGCAGCCAAAAGTGTTTGGGAAACCCTGGTGCAGAGGATAGAAAATGTTCTTATTTTGGACAGATGCTGTTCTGAGTAGGAAGATTTCTTGGAAAGAGAAGACAAAAACTCTAATCGTAACTGCTAAAATGGTTCTAGGTAAAAGTTGAGCCAGGGAGTTAGAACCCACAGAAACTCTTATTGGTCTAGGTCAGTGTTTCTCAACCAGTGGTAGTTTGGGAAACCCTGGTGCAGAGGATAGAAAATGTTCTTATTTTGGACAGATGCTGTTCTGAGTAGGAAGATTTCTTGGAAAGAGAAGACAAAAACTCTAATCGTAACTGCTAAAATGGTTCTAGGTAAAAGTTGAGCCAGGGAGTTAGAACCCACAGAAACTCTTATTGGTCTAGGTCAGTGTTTCTCAACCAGTGGTAGGAATACCCTTAGGGGTACTTGAGAGAAGTCTGGGGTGTACATCAACACACCTGAAATTGGGAGAATTGAATTTTTGTTGTAAGTTTTATAGTGTTTTGTTATTTTTGTACTTTTTTACACCCAAAAATTTCATTGCTTGCCTGGCTATGATTAACTTGTTTATATAAATGTGTTGCAATGGTAGAAAAAGAATTTTGTCTGAAAACTAGGTACTGGGGATACTTTATATATATATATATATATAATTTGAAAAATGGGTACTTTATAAATGAAAAAAAAAAGGTTAAGAAAAA